CCCAGTTGTTTAAAAATCCTCCTCTGGGAATGGCAGTCACAGCTTTAAGGTTTCACTGCAGTCTTTCTGAACAGCCATTTATAGGAACTTGAGGAATTGACAAAGAAAGGGAGACAGTTTAGGAAATTCATTTTCCAATTTACCTTGTTTCCTTTCTTCCCAAACTGGCTCAATTACCTAAGATTAAAACAGTGGCTGAGGGTGGAGGTGGAAACACAGCCCTTCAGGACATGGAGCCCTGCTCCCCTCTGCAGGCCTGCAGGGGCAGTGGGAGTCGACACCCCACAGGAGGAGCAGGCCCAAGCGGTGACTGACTGGACCTCATTTCCGTCGTTGGAATACACACATCAAAAGCCTGCACAGTGGGCTCGCTCCTTCTGCGTGACTCAAGAGTATAGGACAGAACCACTCACTCCCAGATGGAAGTCACTGAGCTATCCAGCGACTAGCTTCATCTCTGCCTCCTTGGGACCGGAGTGAGACGCTGGCCCAAGGGCTCCATGTCCCTCTGGTGAGGCATCGGGGGCCAATTTACCCTCCTGTCCCTGTTCCGGTCCCCCGCGGTACACGTCTCAGGAGAGCGGGAGATGCTGGAGGAAGGGCCTTGCTTAACTAGGTCAGAGAACGGCCAAGTGCAGCTCGTCTGAACTCTCTGCTCTAGTCCTGGGCCCAAGTCCTGGGAAAGACTAAGTGCCACTGTGCCTTCCCTCACCACTGTCCTGCACAGTGGCTCCCTCAGGCACAACGGCATTGGGCACTCCTGGATCTGCTACATATTCACTTTCGTCAAAATCCTTCATTACAGAATGAAAACATCTGGGCAGGGATGTGTAGGGGGAGGAAAAGTTAGCCTAATAATCTTTTTAAAGTACTCAGAGGCACATCTAGGCTATAATTAATAATAATAATCCTTTTTTACTGAATGCTTAGCACGTGCCACACACTTTCGCACCACATTTACATGAATTATAGCATGATGTTTTTGGAACAGCTGTATGAGAACAGATACATTAAACCACTGTACTGATGAATAAAGGAGGCACAGTGAGGTCCAGTAACTTAACCAAGCTCATCTAAATAGAAAGTGGCAGAGATGGAGCCAGAAGCTCAGTCTGTGGCTCTGAAGACTCTGTTCCCTAGTATACATCTGCCCCCCTCAGTCACGCTCCATGTCATTTCCAGGGTGATCATGACATTCGGAATCGGCGTCAGGGCGAGGTGTGGCGGCAGTGCAGTCCCGGCTGGCTGGGCTGGGGAGGGCTCCTTACGCTCTGCGGAGCAGGACCTGCACATGTCTGAAGGATGTGCATGCCTGGATCTACAAACACTGCAGAGGTTTGTTCCCAGGACAACACACATCTCTGGGCTCAGGTGGGCTGAGGAGGGTAGGGAGAGAGCCACAGGGAGGCATTTCTGTTCCTGGGGTCACTGCCCTTTCCGAAATCACAGTCGCCTGGCCTGGCCCTGGCGGGCAGGGGCAGACCTCTGTGCAGGCGACCCCGCCAGTGCTGCCCACCTTCCTCAGAGAGCTGTCTCCTGTGTCTGCCTGGGAACGGTTCCAGAGCCCTGTGGACAGAGCTGCGCAGGCTCCGTCTGGCAGGAGCGCACACCAGCTGTTTCCATAAGCCTAGGCCAAAGACGGTCACGGCAGTTTAGAATTTCCCTCCTAAGTGAGTTTTAAATGAAAACTTCAAGTTTCTAAATCAAACACGAATTCACTTCCCTATGAATGAGACTCACATCCCCTCATGGTTTAGAGCAACGACAGAGCGCGGGAATGCTGACCTCCCACTTGCCTGGGACACACAGGTGCCTCATAAAGCAGAGCATACCCCAGAGGCTCCCGGAGAACCGGGGCTGAGGTGGCGAGAACGCACAGGTGACTCTCATACTCTGGCGTATTCCGTCCTGGTTCTCACTCCCGTCCCACCCCCTCCACTTCCGTCTTACTCCTGAGCTCCTCTCTGTCCCCCTGACCTTCAGGCTGTTCCCCCAGATCAGCCTTCAGATTCTTCTCCCTTGTACTACATACTGACCCATGCTCAGGGCCTCAGACGTATCCTTACCACTCCCAAATGAAACCTGGCCCAGACCACTCTTCCAAGCGGCACGCCCACACTCCAGCTCTCTGCCAGAAGTGTGTCCACTCGGACCTCCCACAGGTACTCGAACAGGTGAAGCACAAGCACGACGCCACAGGCCATACGAATACTCTTCTAGAAACAACTAGGAGTCTGCAACGCTCTAGGAAAGGGAAGGAACTTTATGCAGTGTTGAAGCGCTGCAAATAGTTTGATCCTGTGTGTCAAGTCTCTAGATCCAGAAAGGAAGGAAGGAAGGGAGGGAGGGAGGGAGGAAGACAATCAGCCCAGTAGATTTTCCAAGTGAAAAAGGCCAATTTTTCTCAAGAAGAGAAAAAGCTCTCTTTGTATGGATAGTGAAAATCCAGAGGTAGAAATCTGAATTTAGAGCCAAAGCCTTCTGATGATGGTCTGACAGTTTTGTAGGGGGACTGGCGGGGATTCAAAAGCCATCCCCATGATGCAGTAGAGAGACTATTTTTAGACTAACTTTCCTGTGGCTTCCTGACTGAATGGCAAAAAGATACATTTTTCAGAATTATTTTGAACACCGAATAACTGAGATAGATTGAATGGTTTTTGCACCAAAGTGTATGGCTCAAGAAGTCTTCCCACTGGGCAGTTCCGGGTAGGTTTGACGTTTCTGAACACGCATGTTTGGGCTGCAATGAGACGGAGTATTCTGACTGGACACCTGGAGTAGGGGTCTGTCCAGTCCTGGGACATGGTTCTCGAGTTTGATTCATTGTAAGGTGGTTGGGGCAATGCCCACTATCTTCCCAGAACGATGTGCCCTTCCGCGGTTCCTTGCTTTCTCAAGCAGATGGAGACCTGTGTTGACTCAACTTTCCCCAATATTAAATTACAGCATGTTTCTCCTTTTTTTCATCACAAAACAAAAAGTTCCCGTCTCCGTACCTCGTTTCACTTAGGAGTTGGAACTGCGTTATTCTAGTGGAAGCGCAAACTTTGCTGGTAAGAGGATAATCAGTGAACTGCCAGGTAGCTTTGCCCCATTCAGCTAAGAGATGCCCTGCTTTCCCAAACTCCACAAGTACTTTTAACGCTGCCTTAAAACCAAAACAAAGCCATTCTCTGCCGCTGGGAAAGTTTATTTCTCTGAGTGTTAATATTAACCTTGAAACGCCTGCCATTGAGCATTCTATCCCCATGTTTCTCCCATAAAAGTTTCAGTAAACTTACAGTCCTGACACGTGGTTACCACGAGCAGACCTCTATCTGGGAATGATTACGCCTGCATATGGATCTAACTTGGGGCAGGAATAAGCTAGCACCTTCCTTTGACCTCGTTGTGAGCACAGCACAAACAGAATCCAGGAATGATGAGTCTTTTACAGCAGCTGGCTCCCACAGGTGGCAGGATGATGGGCTTGGACACAGGAGGGGTCGAGTCAGTCAGCAAGTGTGAGATTTGGAAGTGATCATCTGCCAGTCTTATTATTAACTGGGAGTTGAGTTGTTTTTATGAACTTCCAGCCTTGAGAACTTAAATGCATTTTTGAAACAAATTCATTTATAATTTAACAGAAAAACAAAATCCTTTTTCTTGTATTTTCACATCCGTCAATGACTGAAAAAAAGTTGAAAGCCCTGGAGACAGGGTCCTTTGAGGCCGGCACCTCCCCCATTCGGCTTGTGAGAGTTTCCTTCTAGATCCAAACGTTCAATCTTTAGTCAATTGCTATTTGAGAAATATGATGACCACCACGGCCATAGACAAACACAAACTGGCATTTCCAAAAGTCCTCTCTGGGTGATGCTACTACAGATCATGTTGTGAAAATATTTTTTTAAAGAACATATACACCTCTTGCTTTAAGATAACTGTACTGGGCAGTAATAGAAAGGTGAATTAACACTGTAGGCCAGTTTAAGTCAAATGTCTCCAAGTCTATGAAGAGACTGTGAACCCAATAGATTTCACATGCAGACCATAGGCTCCTGGGCCCTGTAAGAGCCAGCCCCTCAGCAGATGTCACTGTTCAGCACTAACGTAAAGCTCTAAGTTAGTGAGTCTGACAAGAAGATAGATGCACACATGAAATTTAAACATTTCTAGTAGCTACATAAAAAAAGTATAAAGGAATGGATGAAATTACTTTTAATAATATACTTTACTTAACCCAACAGATCTTAAAATATTCAACAAGTAATCAATATAAAAATATTAATGAAATATTTTACTTTTTGGTACTAAGTTTCTTAAATCCAATGTGGACTGCACACTCACGGTGTATCTCAATTCAGACTAGTCATGATAACCATGCGTGGACAGATGATGTAGCTCTACCCTATTCAGAATGGACAGACAGACAAATGATGTCACGGGAATACCAGAGCCCTAAAGTCTAGGGTGCTTAGACCTCACAGTTTCAGAGACTGGTGCTTCCAAATGTCTTTGTCTGAGTAGCATTTGCAGCAGAAACTCACAAATGCTAAATGTTTCAATCTTTGCCTTTCTGTGCTTGCTTGTATAGAAAACTGGTCTTGGTGTCAGCTGGGCCCTGCTACTCTAATGCACTGGACAATATGAAAGATAGGCTCACTGAGTTGTAGTAACGGTAGTTCTTTTCCAATGTTTTACTGACATTTTAATAGAATTCATTTATTTTATAAATATTACTGAGAAATCGTCTCAGTACAAGGCCCTAGAGAGTAGTATGGATTCTAAAAATAAACCCAACAAAAATAGGTGGTAAGATATATTTAATTATGCCATCAGCTTTACTTACTCTCTATGCAACATTCAAAGAGAGCATTAATTTTAACCAGAAGCAGAGCTCTATCTGAATCCACAAACCCTTGAGGTCTTACAGACTAACCAATTCCAGCCTCTCATCTTCAGTAAATATTTCTGCCCATCTACTACTTACTTCCCCGAAGTGCTAAAGTGATTACCTTAGATAAATGCTCCTTTATGGTTTCGTTGTCTCTCTTCACCACCTCCATCATTTCCTGGCCCCCAAGGTAGGCAGCATTAGCTACATTCAAAAAAAGAAAGGCAAACATTTAGAATAGATAGGACAAACACAACTGTCAGGTTGACTGCAGTACATTCCCGTTGCCCCCTTTTCTCTTGGCAAGTGCTCCCTGACATGAGATTGTGAGGCCAAGACGGGTGTGTGAGTCAGGCAAGGTTGTTGTCTCTGGACACAACGGTATGTACCACAAAAGAACCGCCGCTCACTCTCACTTGGCTCTCTCAACAGCAATGTTTAGAAGGGCGATGGCCTAACGTCAGACACCACAGCAGGTGACGTGTAATTGTACCCAATCGATATGTTTATATGATGTAATGATTTACAGGTAAATCATTAGAAGCACAAATGTTCACAGATCTTTGACAAAGGTAGCATTTCAGAAGAGCAGAAGCCAGGTGATCTGTGGAAGGCAGAATTCTCAGTTGACACAAAGAGTCCTTGCCCTTTTGTCATCCCTCCCTTTTCAGTGTGGGGGAACCTGTGAGTAAGATGATGTATGATTCCCAAAGTTATGCTTTATAGTGAAGATGACTTTAAGGAAGATGATACTGGTGGGCCGAACCTTGCCACACGAGCCCCCCAAATACGAGTATTCTCTGGATGGTGGCAGAAGGGGAGTCAGAGATTCAAAGCATTAAATGGTTAAATGCTCCACTGCTGGTCTGAAGAAGAAGCTCATGTAGAAAGGACCTGAGAGTGACCTATAGAAGCTGAGAGGGACCCCTGATTGATAGCCAGCAAGAAAATGGGGACCTCGGTCACAAGGCCACATGCACTGGATTTTGCCCACAACCCGATGGAGCTCAGAAGTGGATTTTTGGATACGCAGGGGCATGAGGGAGGCTCTGAGACCCAGGCAATGGTGATTCTTGTGCTGGAAGTTGCGTGGGAGGCTTGCTTTATGCTCATTCATGGAGGTAAACATTTACGCTTTAAGCACTTTTCTGTAGCGTCACTGTTGAATTAGAAGTTTAAAAATTCAAATAACTTGTAAGGAATCTCATTTTTTAAAAGTAAATTTTTCATCAAGGAATGTATCTCACCCTACCTTTATTCCTATTCTTTTTTCCCCCTGATAATTTCTCACCTAAGTCTACTTTTAAAAAATAAAAGGCAGTAGAATACCAGCTGGCCTTTCCAGTGATTGCCTCAAAGAACTCATCTTTTTCATTCCTCAGAAATGCTCAGGATACGACACAGTGATCAGAAATAATAATACCAAACAGGAGTGTAATTTCCTAAGGGGAAAACACATTTCTCTTGGCAAAGACTGTCAACAGCATTCCTGGAAACAAGCAGAATTCAGAGTTTCAAGCACCACAGAGAAGGAAATATCTAGAAGCAGGAGTAATGGAAACAAAAACACAGAGAAAGAGAATGATTTATAACAATCTTACTTACTTACTTTTGTTCATTAAAAATCCAAATACAGGTGCTATAAAAACTCACTGAGGAGTCTAATATTCTATTTTATTCATTACTATCATCTGCAATCTGTGTAATGTTCGAATATTATTATAGGACTTCAACTCATGGTTTGTGGCTCACGGTTTGAAACAACTAAGTGAGGGCTGAAGTTGGAGGTCCATAGGATATTCCTCTCACAGGTCCAATGCCATCACTGAATTCCCCAAGCACACATAATCTAGAAAAGACAGCTGCCTTCTGCTTAACTCAATTGCCCATCTTGATGTCATTTTGTCAGTCTAAGAAAATCCCAACTCATCTTTAAGTCCAGTTTCATTTATCTTCCCTTTCCTTACTTTCCTAGGTAGAACTAATCTCTCCTTTCCTGGCACCACCCATGCCCTGTATCAGTGCTCATGACAGCCCTTACCTCCATAATGGGGGGTGGCTGGGGAGACAGCTATTAGTAAGCACACTCATGGATGTGAAAAAGCAGAAATTTTATTTAAAATTCTTTTTCAAAATAAAAGGTGTAGTAACAATCACCATGGGAACTGGGATGGGCTCTACTGTGGCTGGGCGCATCCAGACGCGCTCCGAGGAGGGCCTGCCGTGGATGCACCGCACAGCCCAGTCCCAGGTTGTCTTGCCTAGGCTTATGAAGCCCAGACACATTCTGGAGGGATGTGGCTGCAGCGGATTTTAGTTATGGTGGGGAGAAGATGGAGTTAACTGTCTCAGTTACTGGTTAACTAGTATGGATGGAGCTCACTGGCTAGGTGTTTGATGGGTGGGGTGTGCTATAATTAAGTCCATGGAAGATGAGTCCCAGGGCCATCCTGGAGTGGGAATGTAGTAGATACTATGTACCTACCCAAAAGCCAATGAAAAAAACCCTTATTTTCTCTACTAGAGACATGGGAAAGTCAAAACATACGATTTCATATCTCTTACAGCTAGAGATGTCGCATAGTTCTGGCTAATAATCTACTGGCAGAAGTTGCTCGGGGAGGTCTTCCTTCTAAATAAGCCAAAGCTGCATCAGGAATAAGCCTTCTGCCTCCCCTTTCCCTTCATCTTTCCAAATGTCAGACATGAGGCCTAGAGGGGCAGAAGTCACTGTGTGATCATGAAACGATGTGGAAATAAAGGTCTATGTGCAAAGGACAAGAGGGGAAAATCTATAAAGAACCCACATCCCCGAAGGCCCCATTCAGATGTTATTTACCTCTAGAGTCTAGACTATCTACCTCTAGACTTCCTGGTGCATGAGAAGAGGAGGTTTCTGTTTAGGCCACTGTAATCTAGACTTCTGTTATCTATAGTTAAACGCAACCCTGGCTGATTAAAGCAAGTAGATTCGGGGTCTTTGAATTTCCTGGGTGCTTTTGGTCATAGTACAGGGGTTGAAGCTGTCCTTAACCTCCCATCTGATTCTGGTGCTTGGCTGGGGGAGAGGGTGTTATCATGCCGTATCTCTACAAACCAGGACTTCCCTGCGAGGAGGCAGAGGTGGGAACTGACCGAAAAAGAGCCATTCCAGGAATAGCCCCTCCTAGCACATCTTCTGACTGCTCATGAGGATGGCAAGACGTTGTTGAGTGCAGGGAAGTTAGGGAGGTGCAAACCAAGGAGGATGGTGAAGCAGCAAAGTTCTTGGGATTGAGGACAGACTGTGGACCTGAGACACGAGTGTCCCCCACTCCAGCAGAGCTCCATCCAGACAGATCTGCTCAGGCAGAGTGAGGCTAGGCCCTCTGAGAGCACAAACCAGGAGAGTTTGCCAGAAGATTAAGCAGGACTAGACATGCTCAGAAACCCAGGGGAAGTCTTCTTACAAGGGGAGCTCTCTGGTGTTCTCTATATTTTTCCAGATTGTTTTCCACCTTTTCCTAATAGTGCCAAATGTGGCTTTCAGCAATGTGAAAACCAGACTTAAAAATGTAATTCTCCCATTCCAAAATTTCTGCAGAACTGAGAGGAATGTTTATTATTCACACAATGTGTTTCTCCATAAGCCAAGAATTTGGTTATTATAACCATCCATTTAGTCTGCAAACAGATAATATTATCTGTGTGACAGTGAGTTCACCAAAGTGAAAAACACAACTCAAAGTGTATGCTTTTTTTTAAATCCTCACCTGAGGATATTTCTTCCATTGCTTTTCAAAAAGAGTGGAAGGGAGGGAGAGAGAGAGAAACATCGATGCGAGAGAGACACATCAATTGGTTGCCTCCTGCACCAGCCCCGACTGGGGTCCGGATGGAGCCTGCAACTGAGGTACGTGCTCTTGGCCAGAATCGAACCCGGGACTCTACAGTCTGCGGGCTGACACTCTAACCACTGAGCCAAACCGGCCAGGGCTCAAAGAGTACAATTTTTAAAAAACACAATACAATTTTTTAGAGTGGCAGATAATTTAAATATATGTAAAATTTATACATATGTAAATTTTTCTTTAGAAAAAAAAGTAAAACCTCAAGTCATTTAATTCTAAAGCAGGAATGGTATTCTAGTACCATAGCTAATCACCTCTTGTCCTTAATCCTAATACTGACTACATACACTCAAAACAATCTTTTCCTTCATTGCCGAATTTTAGGCTAAACTTCCATGAATCATTAAAGGTGCAGTTGGCTTTCATACATGGATTTTCCTAAGCTACACACATAAATGAGAGGACAGGTAACATGGAAATCTAGTTTTGTCTCATTCAAAAAATTATTCTGGGATTGAGTTACACATAACCTGAGAAGAAATTTGTGATTCCTTAATGAAGCTTACGTGTCAGCTCACTGAATAGTTCAGTTCCTTTCATATAACTGTACATGTTTTCAAAAGTTATTTCCATATTGATTAAGGGAAGGAAAGATTGTGAAAGGGGAGAGGAGTAGCCCCTCCTAGCATAGGAATGTACGCAACAGAGTAACGTAACCCACCAGGAATGCCCTTTGTCTCTGCGCTGTTTTTCTAGTTAGGTAACTGAAAGGAATTAAAACATCAATTTGGCCCAACTAAGGAAAAGACCCTCGAATATTTTTTAAAGTTAATTATCTTGACCTGTGATACTAACCTAAAATATATTTGCTTTTAGCTTTGATCAGAAAATCCAATTTAGCTGTCTCAGTGAAAAGTCCATTTCTCATGAAACAGAAGAACATCTATTCTAAAGAAAATATGTAGTAGCAAACATCCCAGAATTAAAATTAAAAGAAAAACCCCATATATTTTCTTTAAGAAGAACATTTAAAACACTCTAGTTCCTTAAGTTGAACGGAGGAACACTGTAAAGTTTCTAACGTGAGCTAACTGAACGCGGCCTGAACACTGGATGGGAAAGTGAGGTTTCATGACTCAGCCTGGTGAGAAAGGCCCAGGCCCAGAGTCTCAGCCTGTAGGAAGGGACATGCCATCTTTGCCAAAGGGCAACAGTGTTTGAAATACTTGAATATTTTGTTCCTTGAATTTTTCAGACCTTACTACAACAACAACAACAAAAAATTATGTGTATAAACTAAGGGATACAGAAAATCAGTTTCTATCTCGACAGGACAGGATTTATTATCCACCACTTGGACGGGCAAACTTCCTCCGTTTGTTTCCGTAAGATTTCTCCTGGAGCACAGACGTGACATAATGTGCAAACACTGCAGGGCCTAAGAGTCAGGCTGGTATGCTGAAGGTCACTGTCTGGATGACAGTCAGGCCACAGAGAAGCAGGTCTGCAGGGGAATGTGCAGAGGGCACAGTGAGAGAGGCCACCGAGAATGGTCTCTGGTCTCCCTTTCTCTGGATAGCCCCTCTCTTTGAAATTCATGCCAGCGACTCCAGTGGCTGGTTTAAATACTAACTGCCCTCACCGTTCATGGCATATAAGCCTAAGAAGAGTCCACTAGCCATCCGCAAGGGCCAGTGGCTTATGAGTATTGTTTCCTCTCAGCTGGACCTTCTATCTGTAGTAAGTAAGGTAATAGGCACCACTAAGGGGTGGCCAGGGCAAGCCTGGGCAAGGTGGCTTCTGCGGTAGTTGTTGCAAGAGGAGGCAAGGGTGACATGGGACTCACAGGGGACAGGTGGGAAGAGGCTGGCTAGGATGATTGAGACGCTTGCTTAAGGATCACCCTAGAGTCACTACTAGGAGACTGAACCAAGAACCCTAAGAAGAAAGAAGACAGGTATTCGTGCTTCCTTTCTCTTTACCCAATGTTACACAGACTGAGTGACTAATGGGGAAAAAAAGGCCAGAGGCCGATGAAGTACTGGTTACTTGAACATCAGAAGGCCACATCTAGAACGAACAGAAGAAAAACATCAGAGGAGGGGTGTCAAAGTGGGACATCTCCAACTTCAACTTTCTGGTAATCCTCATGACTGTCTTGAGCCTTGCACCCCCTTTGGCCCGTCTTATCTTTGTCCACTGCTATGCTAAGGCTAGAATAAATCATGGGGGCTGGGTAGGGCACGGAGGGGGAAAATCCACAGTATAGAAAATATATTAAATTCCTATTTGTGATGACTGCTTCTTGCTACATATTTGGAAAAACACCTGCCATATAACATGTAGCCTGTACACTTATAAAGGCAGGGCTGTGACTTGTTCATGCGTTCACTGTGCACGTGGTCTTGTAGCACTCTATTTTTCTCCACTGCTTTTCAGGAAGAGTAGAAGGGAGGGAGCGAGAGAGAGAAACATCATTGATGTGAGAGAGACACATGTACCCCAACCAGGGCTGGGGAATGAGCCTGCAACCGAGGTACCTGCTATTGGCCAAAATCGAACCCAGGACCCTCCAGTCCTTGGGCTGATGCTCTAACCACTGAACCAAACCAGCTATGGCACTGTGGCACTCTTAATGCAAAGTGAGCATGGTAAATTTTATTCAGGAGTCCTGCCTTTCTGACTAATTGGGACAAAAAGACAATGGCAGCAGCTATGGTAAAAGGAGGCAGGCTGTCGGAGTCTGAACACTACCCACTAGTTGTGTGACTCTGGGCAAATATCTGTACTTCTATTATGTATAGAGACATAACTCTCTGTACCGCAGTATCTTCACCTGTAAAAAGGGAACACTAACAATAACTAGACCTCATTAGATCTGAGAAATACAGGCAAAATCTTAGAATGATGTCATTAGCTGCTACTGCAACTGTTATATCATTCATTGGAGGCCTCTTATAAATAAAATACTAGATAGACAATTTGCATGTGATATATTTAATCCTAGGATAATCTTTTGAAGTGCAGGATATTATTATCCCCATCTTATAGATTAAGAAAGTAGAATTATTATAGTATGAAAATCATTTATAAATACAGTATAAATTAGTATTAACTAAAAAGATAGGTTACAGTTTTAAAAAAGTTTGAAAAAGAAAAAACACATTCATGTTTGAAGCCAGAAGTAAAGCAGCAAAAAATTTCCCAGAACATTTAGGAAATACAATCAGCAAAACAGTTATATTACCGGTGTTATATTACCATGACTATTAGTTATTACTTTTTAAATTTAACCCCGTCTAAAAACATTTAAGAAGGAAAATAAAAGCAGAGCCTGTTCACTCTATAGGAATATTGAGTCTGGTTTCCTTGGGCTGGCTTTGCAGTTTCCTTACACTGGACTATGAGGGCCCGGCCCGGGTTCCTGTACAGACTCCATATATATACACCATGTACAGAAGAGCTCTTTTTCACCTTCCTACAGCTAGAGTGGAGAAATAGCAGGTGAAGGTTTACATCAAAAGCTTGAAGAGCCTTTTCTATTTGTCAAACAGTACTCCCCTCGCTCTATTCTCATCTTATTTTGTTTAAACTTTTGGAAGAAAAAATCCGACAAATAATTTCTTGGTTGATATTCATCCACTGTCTGAGATTCCCTTAACGCTGTCTGATACAGGAATGAACCTATACATTTTAAATGTGCTTACCAAGGCAGAACGGCTCCAACACACTTGGGGCCAAAAATTCACCCTGCAAGTTCATCCACAGAAGAGCCGTTCTGAGCAACCAGGACTTGACTGTCTCCGGACACGGTTTAAGTAGTAAGTAGCCAGAAACATAGAGAATGTATCGAAGCCAGCACAAAAGTGGAGTGGCGATCCTGCCGTTGGGTGACTCGGACATTCGCTCAATTGTTGGAAAGAGCAGAAAGGAGCGAATTATCTACAAGAGAAAGCACATGTTGATGATAAGTTTCTTACAGGATAACCTACTGCTTTATTGTTTCTTCTATATAGTATCGACAAATGACTGGGTTTTGGAATATGACTAAAGATTTGTTCAGACTAAGAATCACCACCCACTGCCGTCTCAGCCCACGCCATCTCGTAGGATATAAGGATGTCCCTTGACCTGCTGGGGTTAATTTTCAGGGTGAGGAGTAAATCAGATTCCTAGGTAACTTCTTGACAGTGACAGCAACTCAAAATCCCTTTGAAGGACTGATGAAAGGAGACATTAACATACCATTAGTGATATCATTGATTCACTAATGATATCAGAGGAAAGTAGAGCCACATAAAAACTCTATTTCTAGTCAGCATTTCTTTTACTGATTATATTTGTTGATAGTCCACTTTTGAAAAGCTCCTCTATTCCTTAATCTTACCAGCCAAAGATAATCTTTAATAGGACCAAATGTATTTCTAACAATTGATTCAACCTTAAAAAAGCGGAGGCCAGGGACAAGTGAAGCTGGAACTCTCTACCTACGTGGGAAAGTGTTTAAGGACAAAAATGTCATTTCAACTCAATTCCTCAGAATATCAGGAGATGTATTTTCATAACACTCCAGAAGAAAAAAGATCATCACAAAACATTTTAAGTGTACCATATTAATGTTAAGAACTAATATATAAAAATAATTTCTGTGGGGAATCATAAGTCAAAACAGCTAATTAAGCACAATCCTGTCAATAACAGAGTAACAAAATGGAACAGCGCTAAGTAAGGGACTGCAGAACAGGAAATGAGAATGGATGCAATGGTTTTGCTTTTTTCTAAAACCTTTTAAATTATTAAGTATCACATACAGAAAAGTATACAAAATTTAAATGTGACATTTAACAAATAATTTATACAATGAATAGCTATTCGGGTCACGAAACAAAACAGAGCCAGCATGGCATCTTCCAACCACAACTTCTTCCTCTGCTCACGCCTCAGGTAACCGCTATCCCGACTGCCTCACCGTGTTTTATATCAATATTTATCCAATATTATAATCACGTCCTTATTTTGCTTTTCATTAATACTTTTCATTCTGCCACAGAATGAATCCTGTCTCCCCCAAATCTGTATGTTGAAGCCCTAACATAGAATGTGACCATATCTAGAGATAGGTAATTATGGTTGAATGAGGTCAGAAGGGTGGGGCTGACAGGATTAGTTTTCCTTACAAGGAGAGATGGCAGAGAGCCCCCTCTCTTCCCGAGCACACCCAAAGAAGTCGTCTGGTGGTCTGGTGAACACACACTGGGAGAAGGTGGTCATCTCCACGCCAGAAAGAAGTCCCACCAGGAACTCACCATGCTGGAATGCTGGCCTGGGACTCCCAGCCTCCAGGGAAAATAAATGCCAAGCAGTTTATAGTATTTTGTTACGGCAGTTCCAGCAGACTAAAACATATCCCTTATTATAGTTCATTTCTGTCTTTTAATGAACTTTCTAATGTTCATAAAATGTGAACATGCAATATGTTTTCATGCTTTACTTCCTTGACTCAACATTGTCTATAAGATATATGTTGATACACATAGTGATAGATTATCTTTGCTATATAGTTTTCCGTTGTATGAACGTACCTCAACTTATTTATTTTACCGATAGAAACTTGGGTTGTTTTCAATCCAGAGAAACTATAAATATGCTGCTATGAGCTATATATTTTTGTGCATGTCTCTTGGTGCATGTGCACAAGTACTTCTGTTGATTTTATCAGCTCGAAGTAGAAATACTGGGTCATATGGTATCCACATGTTCCGCTTCAGTAGGTAATTCCAAGTAGTTTTCCAAAGTAGTTGTACCGATTTACCCCCCTAACAACAGACATGAGAGTTCATACTCTTACCTATCTTTACCATACTAGGTACTGGCAAACTTTGTAATTTTGACTGACCTGGTGTAGAGTGGCATTTCACTGTGGCTTTGATTTCTGCTTCTGATGACTGAGAAGGCTGAATAGCTTTTACATGTTTATTGGACACTTTCAATCGCCTCTGAAGTGCTTATTCAGGTCTCTTGCGCATTTTTCTATTAGGTGTCTGTCTTTTTTTCTTACTGATTTGTCGGAGTTGGTATTTTATCCTACATACCAGTCCTTTATCTTGTGGCAGTCCTTGGCTTGCCTGTTCAACTCGTATTATTCTTATTTTTTTCATAATGGAGATAAGTTCTTAAGTTTGATGCCACTGAGTTTAAGTTTTTTCTTTTATAGTTACTGTTCTCTGTGCCTGGTTCAAGAAATTCTTCTTTAACCTCAAATTATGAAGATACTATTTTTTCATTCAAAATGTTTTAGGAATTAGATAATGCTGCCTCTTGTCTGTTCTACAGTGTGGGTTTAAGCTTTCGTTGTGTTTCACTTCAGAGTGAGCTTGTTCCTGTGACTTCAGGCACCAGTGATTTGCCATTTCCCTTGTGTATCACATTCCTCCTCCTGGACGAGCTGAGAGTGTTGTTCCCCTCGGGACCTGAGAGTAAAGGTGGGTTTTGGTGGGCTCAGTCTCCTGTCCTTTTTCAAAGTAACCTGTTTGATGGCACTGCCCCAATGTTAAAGTTGATGAGATAGCACCTGTAATTCTGCCTTCATGTCTTTGTTATTAATAGATAAAAGGGATTTGAGGGTGAAAGCTGTGGAGGACCCTTTTCTTTCTAGTCATATCCTCTTGTTTTTCCTTGGTCATATCTGTCAGCTAAATGCTCAGCCATTTCCTGCAGACTTTTCCTTTGTTCTCAAAAATGACAGATATTTTAGTTGTGTCTTTTTTGGTCACAACAATTTGACCTCTACTAGATCTCCTCCTGTGTTACATAAGTAAGAATGTACTGTTCCCACAACACCTCTATAGCCTTGATGGGAAATAAAAGACAATCTTCAGGAGCAGGGAGCCACAGCCTTTTCAGATGATCTTTAAAAATGCTGGATTGGCAACACCGCGGACCAAAAATATTGTTTTTGATCCATGGTTAGTTGAATCCTTGAATGCAAAATGCGGAGATCTGGAGGGCCAACTATATATATAAATATTGAAAAAAATGCACATATAAGTGAACCTGTGCAGTTCAAAAACCTGTGTTGCTCAAGATTCAACTGTATAAAGGTTAAAAAAAAGAGACTCAAACTAAGATTAAGAAATCTCAAGGAAGTATCACCGGACAAGAAAAGTCAAAGGAATCCTCCCTGGATGCCACTTTCGGTGGGAATTCCAACTCCATGTGCTCAAACACAGATAGAGAAGGAAGGGTATCAGTTCTGGAGTCCCAGGACTTTTCTGATATTTGGCAGTCTTTGTTCCCTTCAGCATAACACCCAGAGATATACAGCGTTCCTGATTCAGCAGTAACTGCTGAGGACATAGGACAAGCAGAGTATGTAGCACAGGCACCGTTGTGACATTATCTCCAGTGGCAGGAAGTACAAGTAAAGAACCAATAGCTTCCCACGTCTCCAGTTCTCTCCACTCCCATATTTGATAGACAGTGGTATGCCACCACTTCATCTTTGCACATCAGTCCAAAGACATTCTTCAGGACTTCTCTGGATGGCTCAGAGTCCAATATGACTGCTGTCTCAGAGATGAGGAATACACCCTTCAGAGTGGCAATATTAAGAAGTCTAACAATAATACCACTATTAAAGACCTGGATCAAAAGGTGTTGAGAGAGGTAGGGTTTCTCATTGCCCTGCTAGACCTCCCAGCGGAAGGGCTAAGAAAGAGCCACCGTCCCTATCCCGGGAAGAGCTCTTCCTGAAGGCGGACAGCAGGTTTCTTAATAGCAGCTGCAGTGGCAGCAAAGGTGATGATGGGAAACTGACTTCTAAGCTCCAGCCAAGCGCAGTCCTGCCTGGATCCATATGCCTTGGTAAGGAAGCCAGGTCGGTCACAGTGCAGTCACTGCAGGCTCTTTGGCAGCCAATATTCTTTAGTAATACCTCTAAAAGCTCTCTGGTCTAGTCGTTCACATTCAGGTTCATAATCAACCTGAAACAAATTTTTGTGTGTGGTGTGAAATATGGGTCTAATTAAATTTCTTCCATATGGAAACCCAACTGAAGTGCAAAGGTCGCCCTCCCCCTGCTTTTCTGCAGTGATACTTCTGTTGTAAATCCCATGTACGTGTGAATGGGTCCTTCTCAGGGCTCTCTAATCTGTTCTACTGGGATAGTCGTCTAACTCTGTGCCAAGAGCACAAAGTCTTACTTACTAAAGCTTTATAATACACTTTGATATTTGGTAGAGTAAGTTAAACCCCATGTTGTTCTTTAAAAACGCCTTGGGTATTTTTAGCTCTCTGCATTTCCATGAACATTTTGGAATGGGCTATTCAAGTTCTACAAACATCCTAAATGGGATTGTACTAAATTTATAAATTAATTTGAGGAGAAGTAATAGCTTTACAATACTGAGTTTCCCACACCATGAACATAGCATAACTCTCCTTTTATTATAAATCTTTAGTTTCTCAGACTGGGACTCTCAGGTGCTACAAATTCTTCATTGGGAAAATAAAACTAAATTATGTTCTATTGTACTCTGTTTATGAAAGCAGAAAAGTATGCTAAACACATCACAAATATTTTAAATGAGAAAGTTAGAAATAAATGTTTTTGCCACCCCCTCGAAGCCCCGAACAATCAACTAAGGAAAATGATGTTTTCCAAAAAGTCTGGTAATTTAGTCTTTTTTGGTAACTCATTGCTTAATTTAGTCTCAAGTTTACTCACTTCATAATAAGGCTTCCTTGTGTTTATTACAATACCTTCAAAGATTTAGAGAACATAAATGGTTAATACAGTTACTGTCATACTAATAAATGTACCATACAGATTCCACACTAGTTGTGTAACCCACAGTACATAAGGAACTTTGGACTGATCAAATCAGCTGGCAGAAAGAGGAAGCGATCCATTACTTTGTATAAATGATCCATTACTGTGACCC